GAACATGTAAAATCAGTAGCTAAGGATTTGTAAAGGCCTCATGTCAGCTGTTGCAACATTTTATATAATGTTAAAAGAATATATTGGCGCTCATCATTGAACACAGCAGAATATCATCATCATGGATCTCTTGCTATAATAAAATGCAATAATCCCACCTTGTGGGCTATTTCCTATGGAAGGTCGTTTCCTCCACTAAATAAAGAAATAATTTATAAATAAATAAATAGCGACTTTTTATTCCACAATTCAGACTTTTTTTTTTCTCAGAATTGCAAGATACAGCTAAACACAATGCAAAGAACTGTGAGTTATAACGTTTATAACTCGCATTGTTTATATCTTGCAATTCTGAGAAAAAAAAAGTCAGAATTTAAGATAAAAAGCTGCAAATTACTTTTATTTTTTATTCCATGGCGGAAACAAGCTGCCATAACGACACAAGTAAACCTGAATCCATACACAACGTAATGTAACCCACTAATAAATGTCATCAATGCCAGTTAAACTTTTATTAAATTGTAATCTTTTTAAAATCAGCCTTCACCTTTTTTTGACTGCATCTGATTCTGAAGCATTGTTCTTGTCCGTCATGCATTTACAAAAACTATAAACTATGATTCCATTAAATCACCAAGCTTACTTATTTTCTGTTTGACCGCACCACCTGATATCCTCTACAGAGAAACAAGTGCACCCGTCTGTTACGAAATACATTAGGCATCTAGGCTATAAATATCTACTAGAGACAGGCAGACAGACAGACAGATAGATAGATAGATAGATAGATAGATAGATAGATAAAGTGGGATTATGACATTACAATGAATAACATAACCATATAGAAAACAACTTAGCAACTTGTTATCAAATTTCTTTCAAAAGTAATGAACTGTAAAGAAGTTGTTGGTTTTCACGCGAGACATTGCGATGACTCCCAATTGATCACGCGAGAATGAAGTTGGAACTCACGGATTGGTCGTTTGAACACCAATTAAATCGAGGCTATCCTTCCTGAAAGGGAATCGGGATAAAAAGTTTGAGGTGGACACACAAGTTAAAGTTTGGAGAGTCGGAGGGCAAAGGTTAAAGCCAGAGAGAAGATGAGCGACACAGAGGCATCTGAGCAACCTCAGCCCGAGAGAAAAGTTATCGGTAGGGGTTCAGTGACTTTAGCGACAATAATACGTTTATTTAAGACACATTGCAGATCATAGTAATGAACACGTCATGTATAAGGGGTGAAACGCGACTGACAGGCTTTACTGACAAAATTGCCTTTTGCAGTTAACAGCGGGTGTTTTTTTTTTAATCTTTTTGTTTTGCTTTACCTTTCGACAGTATCGTCTTTAAGATAATGATAATGGTTTCATTTTTGTGGCGGACTGAAATAAAGTTTAATTCACTACTTCCACGTGCGACTTTGTATGGATAGAATCGATAAAGATGTAGATTAATACTTTTTAGAAACCACGTTTACCCTCATTCTATTTGGAACTTATTTGACCATTTAGTAACTTCTCACTGGGCAGTCTGATTGTCTCTTGTTGGGATTTAATATGCCGTTTCTGTAATTACAGCATAAAGAGAAATGAAAGGAACATGCCTGGTAGGATCGTAAGTTGTTCATATTAGAAGCAGGCCAGCGTTTGGCTGTTTACACAGTGAGACTTCGTTGATGGCCCACATTTCTGCGCGCTGTCACCATGTGCTTTATGTGGGAGGGATTTAACTGCAGGTGTGATGCATTTCGTTAGGTAAAAGCTTTACATAATCAGCCATATGTAATTGCCCATATTTACCCGTTGGATCGCATAGTAATAAGAAAACTTCCTATCGGGCCAAAAAACGTGTGAATTTTAGACTACCTTTATGACTTGAATAAAGTTGTGACCTGCGCTTGAGTGGGCGAAGTGGTTGAAGGGTCTCAGTTTGTAGTTGATTCACACACATGGCCCACAGTGTTCAAATTAATCGGTTCCTTGGGCTTTGCCTGAGCATACGAATCCTGTCAGATCTTCTCACTAGATGATGTACTATTTTTATTATCTATTACAGCAACAGGTGTGCAGGGAACTGTGAAATGGTTCAATGTGCGCAATGGATATGGCTTCATCAATAGGTATGTTTATAATAAGTAAAGGACTCCTCACCTGACTAACTATGCACAGTCTGATGGATACTGTGGGGTCCAAACGTCTGAGACCACTAGTGTCCCCCCCCCTAATTTAAAACAGCCATTTTCATTACAATGTAACAAATTTGATCAGTGACCTAAAACACTGTATGAAATTTAAAATTCTAAAACCTTATTTCCATGTTTCAAAGAAGAAAGCCCCAGATGTTCAAAGTGATCTCAGGCTTCTGGACCTCTCTTTGTGTGTGATCGTATTGCTAATCAAGCACTTAAATAATTGGTTTTATCTGTTCTCAGAATAAATATTGGTTAAAATATTAATTGAAATTTAAAAATTTAATTGAATGCTTTTTGTTTCACAGAAATGATACTAAAGAAGATGTATTTGTTCATCAGGTAATGACTTTATAAACAGCAACATTTAATTTAGACTTTTAATTCATTTTAAAATAGAAGCTCTCTAAATAAAAGGTTATGGAGTAATGCCACTAGTGTGTCATCTTGAACAAATGTTTGACACATGGTAAATGCAGTGTATATACATGACATTCTTCCCTAGTAAGTTTAAATGACATTACAAAAAGTAAAACCTATTGAGATCATCTTTACATTTATTTTAAAGTTCAGTTGGTTCTAAGAATTTTTTTTTTCAAATTTTTACTTTGAATTGCACTTTAACCCACCCAGCATTGTTGAAACTTGATGTTATACTAAGGTTTTGCCTTTTCCCTTTGTGCAGACTGCAATAAAAAAGAATAACCCAAGAAAGTTCCTCAGAAGTGTGGGGGACGGTGAGGTTGTGGAGTTTGATGTTGTCGAAGCAGCTAAAGTACGTGGTATCTGGATGTATCAAAAGAGTGTTGAGGAATATTGTGAGTTTAATAACTTATCCTCTAAAACTGAGCCTTTATTTCAGGGCTCAGAGGCAGCAAATGTGACTGGTCCAGAGGGTATACCTGTCAAAGGCAGTCGATACGCCCCCAATAAACGAAGATTCCGTAGGCGCTTTTACCCCCATAATGCACAACCTGCTGAAGGAGAGGAGAAATCTGGGGGGGCTCCAGCAGGGCCCATATCTGAGGGAGAGGGCAGTGAAGAGAAAGGAGCCCCTCGGCCACATCCTCGGCGCCAGCGCCCACGCAGAAGACCTTTTCAGCCACAAGTCAAGGTGAGGTCATTTAAATGCTTTTTAACCAAATGTCTAGTATGCCTTAGATTAATAGAAGTATTTTTGAAACATTGTTAGTAAATTGAGAATCTTGTAGGCCCTGGTGACATTTCACAGAGTACATGAGTTACATTGAGTATGTTTACATGGACAACAATACTCAGATTTGAATACGATTAAGACAGTACTCTGATTAAGAATCTACCATGTAAACAGAGATTTTTGATTACTCATGGAAACACCTTAATCACATTATTACCGTCGTGTAGGACTTTTCGCCGCATTTTGCGACAGTATACACACACGGCAGTGGTCAACTGTTTGACGGCAAATAAAAGGGCTTCCACACTGCCATCGTCTGTATGCACGTACAAATAATTAACTGCACTTGAAGCTTTCATAAAATTAAAAATGAAATACCCTAAACTGCACATGGCATCATCACTAAGATGAACTATGTTTATACGTGAAATTCTGGAGGGGACGTTGGATGGCGTCACGTGGGGACGTAATGACGTGTTCCATTAATCGAACTATGTACTATAACATGTAAAACGGGAACATGAAAAGAATATTCTAAAAGCAACTCATGTAAACACCATAATCATAATATTGGCTTATTTAGAAGTAGTTAAATAATTAATTACTGATGTCCATGTAAACGTAATCAGTGTGTGTTCAATGTGAACTTTAAATATTGAGTATGATAAGCCTTTAAACAGCTATTTTTTTAGTGCACACAGCTGGTCAGTGAGCAGTTTTCTTGTCTCTGCTTTAGGGAGAAGCTGGAGAGAAGAACGAGGAAGTAGATGGTGCCCAGCAGAGGCCGCCACCACGCAGGTTCAGACCTCGATTTCGAAGATTCATATCATCACTTGTATATTTGGAGTTTTTGTTTTTTTTGTTGTTGTTGTCTTGAATCAAGTTCACACTGGTGTTAAGTTGAAAGGGAAACTGGAAATAAGGAGTAGCGACAAATGTTGAGATGCCCTAAATTTTGAAAAGTGTATTTAAGGCTGGAAAAAGTTATAAATAATACATAGTTTTAAATAAAATTATATTTATAATGCTTGATTTACCAGCTCTAATCACTAATTATAATTATTAATCATTTGTTTTAAACTTTGCATTGTCTCATTTCATTACCTGAAGCATGCATGTACCCTGTGTGTATTTATTGTGTTTTATGTAAACATGAAAGTCTCTCTTCTTGAACGTCCAGGCCATTACATCCTCACCTACCCCCTGGAGAGGCTCAACAGACAGTAGTCCCTGCAGAAGAGCAAGAGTCCCCCCCTAAAGAGAGCCAGATCAATAGGGAGCAGACTGAGGGGCAGCCCCGGAAACCCCGCAGACAGTTCAGTCGGCGCAGACAGAAGAAATCTGAATCTGGTGCCTCTAAGGTGAGTGATTTTCTAGAAAAATGCAGTGAAGTGAAGCTGTTGAAATTGACACCATTAGATTTGTCGTTGCTGCCTGACTTTGAAGTGAAATTATCATTAGCTGCCACAGTTCTGCAACGGTTATTTTCTGTTTGGCTGGACAGATAATCAATTTCTCAGATGTGAAATATTTGACTTAAAAAAATCTTATGTAATAGTGAATTGTGAATTTTGTTCAACTAGGTTATATAGATGTCTTATAAATATCTGGCTTGTCAATATTTAGGATGGAGATGAACCTGAAAAACCTGAGTCCCTGGCTCAGGCCTCCAAACCTGCTAACATCAAATCCTCTTCTGAAGCTTCACCAAAACAATCCCTTAAAACTGATGTGAGTTATTTATGCGTGTGTGTGTGTCTATATATATATATATATATATATATATACTGAAAAAAAATAAAAACACAACATCTTATTTGTACTTGTGTGCACATTTATACATTTTGAGTTGCCATCAGCTATGATATATGAAAGAACAAAAGCTTTTTAACATTACTGAACACTGACATGAAACCAGGCACAATGTGTCATGATGCACAAGCTAATATATGTGCAATCATGATTGTCCAAGACCTTCGGTTCGGTACGCATTACAAACCGAATGATTCATAGGACTAATCCGATTACATTTGGAAAATAAAATAAAGTGTGTGAAATATAATGTTCTCAGTGCCACTGTACTCAACAGGGCAGCCAAAACGACGTAACGGCCCCCAAAGAAAAACACACTGCTCCAGTCAGGCATAGGCTGGACTAGATCATTCGTTGCAATATGGCTAGTAAATTTGACTTCATTGAATAAACGAGCACTGCACGTTTCAAAACCAAAACGCAGCGCAGGTGTTTTATATAAATGTCTTTGAAGGGAACCAACTGTCTTCATAAAAGTTTCGATGGCATTTTCATTTTATCTGATAAAGCAGCGTTCATGAGCGCAGCGCTGCTTTGTGTACAGCCATTACCGAGGAAACCACTGTTACTACCGCTCCAGAAGCGCCTCCTGCTGGCAGAGAATGAGCCCATCTCCAGAAACGTGTTTTTGCTAGGGCTGCTCGATTAAGGTAAAAATCATAATCACGATTATTTTGGTCAATATTGTAATCACAATTATTTAACACGATTATGAGTGGGTCCGAAACTTTATATGATTGATTAATTTAAAGATAGCAATACAATAGGGAAAAAAAATACAAATAAAACAGTTTTTTTTTTTTTTTACATTGTATGTAATTAATTGAATGTAAAATAAAACAGCATAGTCTTCACTGTAAGAATTAAACATGCTTTGTTTCTTTTAAAGGGGTCATATGATGCTTTTTTAAAGATCATTATTTGGTGTAACAGAATATGTTGACATGC